GGTACGACATATTATATATATATATATATATATATATATATATATATATATATATATATATATATATATATATATGTCGTACCTAGTAGCCAGAACTCACTTTTTGGCCTACTATTCAAGGCCCGATTTGCCTAATAAGCCAAGTTTTCATGAATTAATTGTTTTTCGACTACCTAACCTACCTAACCTAACCTAACCTAACTTTTTCGGCTACCTAACCAAACCTAACCTATAAAGATAGGTTAGGTTAGGTTAGGTAGGGTTGGTTAGGTTCGGTCATATATCTACGTTAATTTTAACTCCAATAAAAAAAATTGACCTCGTACATAATGAAATGGGTAGCTTTATCATTTCATAAGAAAAAAAAATTGAAAAAATATATTAATTCAGAAAAACTTGGCTTATTAGGCAAATCGGGCCTTGCATAGTAGGCCAAAAAGTGAGTTCTGGCTACTAGGTACGACATATATATATATATATATATATATTGTGACGGTAACGCGTTGGTGTTCGGCTGTTTAAGGCTAGGGGTATGGCCTCGTCACATAGTTATAAAAAAAAAATAGAAAAACTGGAACTTCGTCTGTGGTAAGGTAAGGAGAAGACACACAAAACACAAGTAAATTTTAACAATGAAATTTTAATTACGTTAAATAAATCAAAACATGAAAAAATGGACAAACAAATTCTTATAATAAAATCAATCAATCAAAATAGTAAGAATAATTAAATGACACAATGAAAAGTTACGTTAAGATAAAATAACAGGAAGTGCAACACAAAATAAAGGGAAGGTGCTGGAATATTGGCTTTAAGCTACCACCTCTCTCAGTACACGCTAACGTCTAGCCGGGAGGAGTGGTAACCACGAAAGCACTGAATATTCTGAGGTCTGAGGTCGTGGCGACCCCAGACATCAAGTAGTATGGGGGGGCGAGTGCAGGTGCAGCCAGACCGGCGACCAATCAGCGGAGCCGGTAGCGATCAACAGGTAGTTTGGCGGTTTGAGTCTGAACAGGTGTCTCTGGCTGCAACGTTTTGCGCTCTGGCAAACCTTGCTGGTGTTGTTGTCGTTGTTGGACATTTCTTCCATAGTAGTTTTATATAACCACAACGACGTAATTGTGGAGGGAAGAGCAGGCTCAATCTCTTGAAGGAGATTATCGTCACAATATATATATATATATATATATATATATATATATATATATATATATATATATATATATATATATATATATATATATATATATATATATAATCATTCAGGGATACTGTATATCCCACGTATACTATTGGTTAGAGCAAAACTGCTCACAGACTCATTATTATTTGACCTTGTAAAAATAACAAAATACTAGTCTGAAATGAGAATGAAATTCCATGTAAATATATCATTAGCCCCCACTCTCACCACCTCCACCTCCCAGCTGTCTGCCCTATTAGTCACCTGCCAGGAGTCTGCTCTCACACGCCAGCGCTCTGCCGATCTCATTTCCCCTCTGAAAAATGCTGGGGGCCGGATGCGTCTCGTCGCCCTTACGAAGGAAACCCAGCCAGGTGTGTCATTTACACACCACTGTATCGCATCGGCTGTCATTTTGTAACTGTATCTTAAAATATCAGTACGCCACTCTCCTTGTTACCGTATCGTATGGGAATATGTTTCTCTCTCTCTCTCTCTCTCTCTCTCTCTCTCTCTCTCGCGTGCGCGCTCTCTCTCTCTCGCGCGCGCTCTCTCTCTCTCGCGTGCGCGCTCTCTCGCGCGCGCTCTCTCGCGCTCTCTCTCTCTCGCGCGCGCTCTCTCTCTTGCGTGGGCTCTCTCTCTCTCGCGCGCTCTCTCTCTCGCGCGCGCTCTCTCTCGCAAGCGCTCTCGCGCGCGCTCTCTCTCTCGCGCGCGCTCTCTCTCTCGCGCGCGCTCTCTCTCTCGCGCGCGCTCTCTCTCTCGCGCGCGCTCTCTCTCTCGCGCGCGCTCTCTCTCTCGCGCGCGCTCTCTCTCTCTCGCGCGCGCTCTCTCTCTCGCGCGCGCTCTCTCTCTCTCGCGCGCACTCTCTCTCTCGCGCGCGCTCTCTCTCTCGCGCGCGCTCTCTCTCTCGCGCGCGCGCTCTCTCTCTCGCGCGCGCTCTCTCTCTCGCGCGCGCTCTCTCTCTCGCGCGCGCGCTCTCTCTCGCGCGCGCGCTCTCTCGCGCGCGCGCTCTCTCGCGCGCGCTCTCTCTCGCGCGCGCTCTCTCTCTCGCGCGCGCTCTCTCTCGCGCGCGCGCTCTCTCTCTCGCGCGCGCTCTCTCTCTCGCGCGCGCTCTCTCTCTCGCGCGCGCTCTCTCTCGTGCGCGCTCTCTCTCGTGCGCGCTCTCTCTCTCGCGCGCTCTCTCTCGCGCGCTCTCTCTCTCGCGCTCTCTCTCTCGCGCTCTCTTCTTTGAATCGTATCTTTACCATCCAGCAATTTCAAGGCCTCCCGTTCGCAGCTGCATACAAGTATACAAATATATTCCTGACACTCACTCTAGCGCGAAATACACACACACACACACACACACACACAGGATGTCAATATGGAGACGGTGTTATATTTTTAATTAACTCAGTGTAATGATTGTATGTCTTGTGTTTACATGGTTCAAGTGAGCCTCTAATTACCTTCACACTAAGGGCAAGCTTAGATATGGTAACTACGATATTAATATTATTATTGTTATTAATTGTTGAACATTGTTGAGCTATAAACTCATTGACGGCACGAATTCAGTTTTGTAACATAATTACTCATTAGCAAATGATTCGATAATTAAGTTATCCAAACAAGCAATTGATAGGTCATGAATTAAAGTTTATTACAAAATTAATAGACTCGTTCACAAATTACGGTCAGAAACTAAAAATATATATAAATACTGTATACACTTACACCAGAGGTGGTACCCCCCTTTTAGGTTAAAAAAATATAAATATATTATTTCAAATAATATTAAATAAATACTTCATCTCATCTGTCTGATAATAATATCAATATTTCTCTAATTTAGAAAAATGAATAACTACGCAATCTGGAAAATCTATTGACTTTCTATTAAGAAAGTGAAAGCTTCTGGCATCTGTGGATAAACTTTAACAGGAGGAAATTTTACGTGTTATTTTTTTTTTGTCTATTACAGACGTGGTCATTCATTTATACAATGATAACTAGCGTTCATACATTTCTCGTCTGTCCTACATAGACAATCTAGAGGTTATCTTGAGATTATTTCGGGGCTTAGCGTCCCCGCGGCCCGGTCCTCGACCAGGCTTCCTTTTTATTACACCCCCCTCCCCAAGAAGCAGCTCCTAGCAGCTGTCTAATTCCCAGGTACCTATTTACTGCTAGGTGAACAAGGATAAGCTTAGAGATCTGCCACAATTCATGGTCAATTACTACGCACTCAACCGCAGAAGGTAACTACAGAGCTTATACAATGGTAATCAGTATGCATATAATCCCGTATAATCAGTATGCATAATAAGCTCGTCTATTATACATAGACAAGGTCTACAGGTCTATTAAACTACATACATATTGTGCAGTGGGTTAACGAGCCCTCAAGAACAAGTGGTTCAAGTGATTTGACTATGCTAATTACCCCCATATACCCATCCTGGGAGTTGTGGTGGACCTAATACCCGTACTGAGTGGTACTGGACCTCATACCCATCCTGAGTATTTTTATACATATACCTGTATATATATTTGCCTAATATGTAATCATTATAATACGATATAAGAATTATGAGAGAGCGAGAGCGAGCGCCGAGCGAGCGAGAGAGAGAGAGAGACTTAATAAAGGAGCAATATGGGCACAGGTTAACAGAAGGGCAGGAACAAGTGTGTGGACAGGGAAAATCGTAAATATATTTGGCGTGTGTTGATGGGGAGTACCAGAGAAGGGGCTTCAGAGAGTTTGAGGAGGAGGGTAAAACCCCTCCCCCTTCCCTACCTTTCCCTTTTGTGTGAGGGGGAAGGTAGGGAGGGAAGTTAATGGTGACAACGTAAGGAAAGGGTTGGAGATGGATGGGATGACGGAAGGAAAGGGAAAGGCAAATGGGTAGGGAAATTGCGTGGTGAAGAGGTAGAGATAGGAGAAATAAACGCCGGAAAGTACGGAGGAGAGGCAATAGAGAAAGATAAACGAATGACAGTGGGGGGAAGAAAAGAATGGCAGGAGGGCAGAAATGGAAGAGAAGCATGGGAAAGGCTGAAAGAGAAGCATGGGAAAGGCTGAAAGAGAAGCATGGGAAAGGCTGAAAGAGAAGCATGGGAAAGGCTGAAAGAGAGGCAGTGGGGAAGGGGGCGTGATGGAGGAGATGGGTGGGAAACCGAAGGATAAAATGGAGAAATAAAAAAAAAGTCTCAAAACGATAAATGAAAGAGTAGGAAAGATCGTCTGAGAGAGGGTGGGTGAGACGAGTGGGCGGATGGGAGAGACGAGTGGGTGGATGGGAGAGACGAGTGGGTGGATGGGAGAGACGAGTGGGCGGATGGGAGAGACGAGTGGGTGGATGGGAGAGACGAGTGGGCGGATGGGAGAGACAAGGGGATGAATGGGAGAGGCTGGGAAGTGTTCAGAGATATCCCGCTGGCGAGCTGTGGCACGTTCAACTGCCCGTGCCTCCTGCTATAGTCCTCCTTGCTCCTATACCAGCTTTGTCTACGTGTTCTTACATTGTAAATTTGTATTAAAATTGTAAAAAATTAAGAAATTTTGTCGAAACAATAGTTTTAAGTTTCTAAGTTCTATTTATATCGAATACTGAAAATCATTAACAAAAACTTGCAGTGTGACAGCAATGACAATACACAGATGCCAGATTTCTTTAGAAGAAGACGTATTAAAAACAACGTTTAATAAAATAAAGCATTTGATCCACAAATAGAATACATTTTGACTTTATATATCAAACTCTAATATATCTGTAAGCACCAAGTACCGGTGTCACACGAATGAACGAGCAAAGCAAGAGTAAAACTGGCACCTACAGCCTATGTTTACTTCCAATGGGAATGGCGTCACTCTGGTTCTCAGTGACTGTGTGTGTAGGCGTGTGTATTGTGCGTTTACTGTGATGGTGCTATTCTGAGGAGCCTTTTCACCTGATCTGACAGCCTATCCAGCCATCCAACATGGCTACGACACGTAAGTATCGTGACAGAGGAGAGCAATGACAGAAGAATGATGTATTTTATAAGTGGCAGACAAACTTTGACCAGAAGCCTGCGAGCCTAACAGGACAAGATCTTTCTTCATATGCCTTTGATTTTTTTTCCGAATGGGTCCTATTGGACTATGTTGGCGGCATAAAAAGTATTCCATATGGGATTCTAGTTTGCATAACACAATCAAATGGAAGTTTAGGTTAAGGCGACAGCACAGGAAATAACCTATTAGAATGAGAGCAGAGGAGCAAACAAAGGCAGAGCGAACAGCTGGCTCGTGTTTACAGCTCCAGCTGGGTGCCTGAGTCACCGCTGGCGGGTCCTCACCTGACCTTTAAAGCTTAGTACACTACTTTAAAGCTTAGTACACTACTTTAAAGCTTAGTACACTACATTAAATCTTAGTACAGGTACTTGCAGATATAATGGAAGATCACTAGAGCTTTACAGAAAAATAGGAATAGAGGGACATTACGAAATAGGAAAATAGGAACATTACGAAATAGGAAAATAAGTGTGAATTTCGTAATTATATAGTGATATGAAGTCATATATAATGTATATACTGTAATATAATATATTATACATTCATGCATATTAATGTGAGATTGTATTACACACCCAATAATTCAGTCTTGTGGATACAGTGGATAATTACAATTTAATTTTATGATTGTGACAGGCAAAATTGTATAAAGTCAGTGATATTCATAAGCCTGGCCTAACTGCATTTCACAGGCCTAAATAAGTAAAAATTTATTTCAAGATAACTTTTTTCCTCTCTGAAACTTTTGTCTGGTATGTAAGGGCATTCATATCATGCTTTTATATTAGTATTTTATGTAGAATATGATCTAAACTTCTATTTCCAAGCAAATGACACTATGAAAAAATATACAGGCCTATTGCCTTACATACAATTATATATTCGATTCCATTTTGCAAAGTTTGTTGCATAGGAGGCCTGGTCAACGACCGGGCCGCGGGGACCCTAAGCCCCGGAAGCACCTCAAGGTAACCATTCACACACACATGCACACATGAATTAATAAAAAATTAGTTAGGCTTAAATTAAATTAGAAAATTAACAAGCAAATTTTTATCACTGAATATTTATCATTGAATAATATTATTAAGATGCCGTCGTCCATGTTATACTTGCAGAAGGGTATCAGCAGGTGGTGTTGGTGCCGACGCCGGCACCTGCAGGTGATGCTACTAACTGGAGGAGACGAGGAGTACAGGTACTGTGTTGTCGCACTAATATTTTATATTATATTATATTTATTATATATATATATATATATATATATATATATATATATATATATATATATATATATATATATCGCATATATATATATATATATATATATATATATTTATTTATTATTTCAGTTGTATTGAGTTGTATTGAGTTGTATTTATATTGAGTTTTCAGTTGCATATTGTCCTGGGGACCATTCAGGCTTGTTCGCATTTGTGTTCCTCACGTGTGCCCCAAAGAATGAGGTGATTTGGTAAAATGCTATGCCCAAGATTACTATCCGAGTGCCGGCGGTGGGGTGGTTCAAATAGCCTCGGCTATCACCTCATATATATATATATATGGATGTATATCACGAAAATAAACACGTGATTAAAAATGTGACAGTGTCAGACCACGGAGGAAAATTGAAACAGGAATTTCCTTAAGTACTTTCGTATATTAATACATCTTCAGAAGGAGTGATTAATTAATACTTAAGGAAATTCCTGTTTCAATTTTCCTCCGTGGTCTGACACTGTCATATATATATACATATACATATATATATATATATATATATATATATATATACATATATATATATATATATATATATATATAATAATGTATTTTGCAGGGATAATCCTGGGTGGGCCCCTAAACCTCTGGCTGGCCCACTTTAGTGTTACTCAGGGAGGCTGGAGCTAACCTTGTCTAACTTTGCACCCTGATTCCTATAATAGAGAATTAAGGCATTCAGGGAAGATTTTGGATTGTCGGAAGTTTGAACTAGGTCATTCAGAATACGAGTGTATCGCTGTAACCACTTCAGTATCCCAAGATACCAACAATACGAAAGAGCCTTGGGACGTTCTCAGCTGAGACTTTAAACCATCCCTAGATCTTCCATCAGGAAGCAATTGACCTGTTCATCCATGTTACATAAGATGTAAACCACAATATCATGGGTAACAATCTCATTTAGTGGGCAGAGTGATTGCTTTATGGTTTAATGCCCGAGTTCGAAGCTCTGACAATACAAGTGAGTTAAATGTTGGAATCCACGATATTGTGGATAGAGCCTTGTAGGACGTGGGATAAAGGGATGGATTGAATTCTATGTAATATGGGATAAGAGGGTGGATTGCATCTTATGCGACATGGAATCAAGGGGTGGATTGTATTCTATATGACTTTGATGAAGGTATGGATTGTGTACTATATGCCATGAGATAATGGGTTGGGCTGCATTCTACATAAGATAATGGGTGCATTGCATCAGATATGACCTGGGATAAAGGGGAAGATTGCATCTTATATGACATTGGATATGGGTTGGATTGCGAGGCTATCCCCACCATTAGATAAGGAGACCTTGATAATCCAAGCATTCTTACTGTCATCAACATTCAAAGGCCAGTATATACCATGCTTATCATCAGCAATAAATTCACTGACAAATGCCATCCATGCACTTCACAGCAGAACATTCCTGGAAGGCATTACACATGGTCTTCCTCCCTTGTGAGCAACTATCATTGTCCTGTAGAGAAGAGAGTAATGGTGCGGGAGACGAGGAGACAGGGGAGGGGGGAATGGTGGGGAGGACAAGGGAGAGTAGTATTAAGAGATTCTTCATCCAGCAGGGCACTTCTCATTATAATTTATAGCCAGGCTTTGTGAGGTCTTAAATTATAGGATTTCTAAATACCTGATACCAGTGAAAATATTGTTAATAATAATTGTAATAAAATCAAAATAGTAATGATAGTAAAATGTTAAATGTTGGCAATAATACATGGATTACCACTATCAACCATTCCTCTCAATACCATCACCACCAACACTACACTCATTGCCGCCGCCACCACCACCACTCATTCTATCACCATCATCATCTCATTGCCACCATCACCCTGTTGTTGCCACCTCCACCCTGTTGTTGCCACCTCCACCCTGTTGTTGCCACCACCACCCACTCTGTGCTATCCTTGTATGACATCAGAACTGTCCATGAGACATCTGTCATTGAGAGACAGTATTGATATGTCACTACTGTCCCAGAGGGGCATCAATATTCTCCCTGAGACACATCAATACTTTCCCTGAGGGACATCAGTCCAGTCCATGAGACATCAGTACTGCCCCAGAGAGACATAACTAGTCTCTGAGGGACATCATTTTATGTCCCTGAAAGACGTATATACCCCCCTGTTAATTTTTATATCTTCTGCGCTTTATTATCTATCTAGTACAGTAGTTACTTTCTGAACTTGTAATTGCCATTTGGACATTATTAGGGAAATGGGTAATTTTTATTAATGGTATGACTGTTTTGATAAAACATTCTCTCTCTTTTTGTGTCATTGTAATTTATTTAAATGTAATTTATCTTTTTTTTATATGTGATAAGTCTTTTATGTTCCTCTGTTCAGTCACATAAGACAGGTGATATTAAAATTCATTTTTAATATGTTGTAATGTTCTCTAATGATCCTGGGTTTCCTTGTATGTGTGGTGCAGGTCGGAGGTCTGATGCTGGGACTGCCATGCGCGATCTGCCTCTCTGTGACTGGGTTTGTCTTCCTGGTCACAGGAATTGGCATACTCTCTTCTGAGTCAGAGTTTGATGGTGACTTTTTCGATGACCACGATGAGCCTCTCACTATCGTTGGGATTGTTATGATGATTATAGGAGGTGAGTAGCTCTCATGAGTGTCTGTCTCTCTGTCATTCATTCATTCAAAGGTTAATTCATTTCCATGTAACCCATGAGGTGTTGCTGGCAATATTTGAGTATATATTGTATGTAATTTATACAAAACAGATAGAGTTCCATGTAGGAAGTGTTTTTCTGGTGTATGTGTTTTATAATGAAAATTGTATCACCACAATTTGACCATGTCGTTTGCCATGCTTAGAGGCCGTATGAAAGGTGTGTGTAGTAGGAAGATTACCTTATGTTTTTGGATAAAGAGTTTCTTTTGAAATCAGGTAATGTAGTAATCGGGTGGATGTTATTAGATATTAATGTTTGAGTGTGTGATGTTGATTTGATGAATAATTGTTCATGCAAACAATTTTGTACATATATCCTCTTCATGGAAGTATGTTCCGAATAGACTCTGTCTAAACTGGAATATTCGTAACATTTTTGGCTAGAACCATTTTGATGAACATTTTTATTAAAAAAAAAAAGTACATGTGAATGCGACAACTTGAGAACATGTTAATATTACTTTAATATTCATAATATGCTCATAAAAGGAAGGTTTCTAGTAGAAATTGATTTTTTTAATAAATCATTGTGTTACATTTAACACTTCATGTTACACATGAAGGTGGGTATATTAAGACTCGGTGGGTAGTGTTGACTCTTTTTGTAGCACGTTTTTAGAAGTAGTTTCCAAACAGCATCTTAAGAATGACACATTATATATATACAGTACTCAGAAAAGAAGCCTCACTATTGAAATAAGATCATAAGAATACAGGAATTTGCAGAAGGTCTCTTTGCTCATACGAGGCAGCTCATATGTTTCAAACAACTTGAGGATCCCTCGTCTATTATGTGGCTGGTCATTGGCTTAAAAAATCAACAACCTTGTTTCCAAATCAATATTAAAGGTTTCGGGTAGTTTTATATTGCTTTTTATTGGGAGCATGAAATACATACATAACGGGGGATTTGTTGCTGCACACAGCAACACGTTGGACATAGACCTATTGTCTTTGCATGATCCTCTGTCCTGTGTGACAGTGAATGCCAGCATTATCCTCACTTTAGTAAGACTTAATTGAATTCCTCAAATTAGGGAAAATTGAAGTTATTTTTTGTCAATAAAGATGTTAATAATAATAAAATTGGCAATGCTTATACTAGATTGAAAGTTAAGAAAATATTGTCATCTTTCATTCATCAATGCAGCCCACTTGATATTGTGTATTTAACTCTATATAGATTTTAAAAAAATTAGTGAAGAAATTTGAGCTATTGAATGAGACACTAGAATACATGCATATCAAATTAAATAAATAAACTTTGTAAATAGGTTCACATTTATAATCAAGTTACACAAAATTATATTACACTACATTATTTACATTAGAAAAGTTGTAATGAAAGACAAAATGCACATTTCTGATTATATACTTCATAATCTAGATTTAGAATTGGATTTAGAAGCTTAATATGTCAGCGATCTTAATTAAATCATTACTGTTGTAGGGGTAAATGAATCGATGTACAGCCCTAAAAACAACTTATTTTTTTTATTATTTTCTACCACAGGCGTGGCCACACATTTACAATGCTAACCAGAATATGTACATTTTCTTCTGTCCTCCATGGACAGAGTTAGAGATTTGTTAAACATATTAAAAGCTTACAGTAAAGAAGTGAGACTTCTATTGGAGAAACATGATGCATTAAATTAGGATGATAAGACAATTTTGAAGAATAATATAGAGTACTATATAGAAATTTGGACACCCTCTGCATTGTTCATCAACAGATTTAGAGGCTAACCTGGATAAAGAGAACTATGAGCACTCTACTTGTGTAACATGGATCTGCTTTCAGTATGATTTAATTTGTGTGGTAATAAGAGACTCGTTGATATTCCTAGCCTTTCTCAGTTTCCACTGCAAAATATCAGCCCTCCTGTGATAAGCTCTGTATTACAGGGGGGGAGGGGTACAGATTTTACTGGGTCATGCTAAATAATACAAGAAACTATTTGCTCTAATATAATAGTCTAATTTATGTCAGAATTCTTTTATTGTACAAATTATAATTTTGAAATGGTTATTTGTGTGTGTTCTACTGTGACCCCACCAATGCTAGGTAGGGCTCTTTGGGATTGTATTTGTCTGTTTCATACTTTTTAAATGTACTTCTCATTGTGAGTTAGTATGTATTAATTTTTTCTTGGTTACAGGTGTCTTCATAGCTGCCTGTATCTGGCTGTGTTATGCAGCCCACCGTGCATATAAGAGTTACACAGCAGGCTCCGAAGGCCGGGTCATCAGCACTACCCAAACAGTTTCTCCTCCACCTGGTTCATACCCAGTGGCTTCTTCTATCGCATACCAGTATCCTCCCGGCACACAGATCACCACCTATGCCACCACGGCAGCACCGCCTGCTGGCTATGTTGCAAGCAGTCAGATTGCCTCCTACCCAGCACCTGGCCAATACCCATCTGCAGCCCCAGGACAACCAGGTCTATACCAGTTGCCAGCTGGAGGACAACAAGGCCCATACCCAGTACAACCAGGCTCCTACCAAGCACAAGTAGCAGGGCAACCAGGGCAGTACCCACAACCTGTAGGAGCATACCAGCCAACAGCTGCAGGCCTCTACCAAGGTCCCTACCCAGGACAGCAGCCAGCACCTCCCTATCTGAGCCAGTATGCCCCCGAGGCTCCAGGACTTCCACACAAGGGTGCAATACCTGGCGAAGTGACACCATCGGCGCCTCACGATCCTTATGAGAAACCCCCTCCATATGCTCCATAATTCCTCCTGTGCCAACCCGATGCACAACCCCTCAGAATTTATATGCTCTCATGATTGCAAGGTGCTGAAGCTCTCAGTTATGTATTAATTGCTTTTGTTTGGTTTTTCATGCCCGCTTCAAGTTCCATGGATATGTTTTGAGGGATATTTTTTTTTATTACTTCTCCCAAAGGAATGTTTGTAAAATGTAAAATGTGAATTTAAACGTGCTTACTGGATGCCAAATGTATCAACTTGTACTCTGTTGCAACTTCGTGAATAACTAATATCTAGAATTGTGATTTTTCTTTACTTTAATATAAGTTTTCTTGCTAGTGTGTTAGAATTAGTAGAGCAAATATAGTATGGATATATGAACGTTTTTGTAATTAGATCTCAAATTTATCTTTACTATAGTATGAAGAGGCCATCTTTCCCCACATAGAAGTCTATGAGGGTAAACAATAAATGTTATTTGTTTTATTGATGTACTTGGATGTATATATTCCTAAAAACCAGTGATGTATAATTTTGTCATCTAATGTTGCAAGTGTGTGAGATCTCTCTTAAAAGGCATACTGAGAAGTGTGAAAGGGTTTTTAAAGCAAGTTAGTAAAAAAATTCTGTCTTAAAAAATACATTGTTAATGAATGAGATGATGTCAGTGGGTGGGTAAAGGCAAATTGAATTATGATGTATGAAAAAATATTTGGGTTCTTTTTTCAGATGAGGTCTAATATATCATTACAAAGATGTCCGTGCCAGGTTTTATAGGTTAGTTCCATGAAGTAGTCAGACAAATGTCACGATATTATAATATACAAATTTTTTTTTTTCAGTTTCTAAATGTGCTTTACACTAAATGTATGTGCACATGCACATACACACATGACACCATGAGTATAGCTCTCATCTGGTAACTATACTTGGATTCACACACACAACCATAGTTTGTGAAAATACCAGTCTGATGTATTACTGTATACATAAGTGTGTGTTGTAAGAGCGTTTCATTGAGAGACGTGCCACCACCAGTGAATGATAGATGTATCTTAATGTTCACTATCCACGTTCTTGGTACCTGTCCACTGTTGCAATTTTTAATCTAAGAAAATAGCAAAATGCTTAGAAAATTCTGAAAAATATATATTGAAAATTAAAGATTTGTTATTTTTATTATACGGAAGATAATGATATTTACATTTAATATTCATAAAGGATTTTAGTTATTTGTCAACTGTGGTTTTTTCTTTTGTGGGAAGCTACTGCAGTATATTTCTTTAATAAAGTATATTTATAATATAGTATTAAAATTCCAGAAAGATTTAAATTCAATAACTTTTTAATATCTAATTTGTTATTAAATCTTCTAATCTGATTTTATTACTATTGTTAGGAAAAATAATTTTTATTGTAATACAGTACATTATTGTATTTTGAGAATTACAATGTCATTTGGATACTATGATCTTCAATTCCAGTAGGTGAGATAAGTGTTATAAAATGAGTACTGTATGATGTACTCTTGATGGATAATGTTACCTATATGTTCAGTATTTATGAGGAATAAAGAAAACCTCTGTTATGTAATCTATATATAACTTTTTTTTGTTTCCATAGAGTTATGTTTTTTAAATAAATATTATTGTACTTCATGTGCAAGGATTTGACAAAACCCTATCAGAGTTGTTCTCGACATAACATTTAAACAATCAAATCTAAGGAACGTGTTTCATTGACAAAGTAACATACTAGCAATGACAATTGTAACTTGCCATCATTGACAAAAAGTAACATACTTTTATTGACAAAAATAACTTCCTATCACGGAGAAAGTAACTTTCTACGATACCTTATGAAAGCCAGGATGAATATTACGATTCACAAGAAACGGCTGTTTAGGTTTTGTTGTGTACTCACCCCTCGTTGAGCTTTGGCTCTTTGGTCCCACCTCTCAACCATCAATCAACTGGTGTACAGATTCTGGAGCCTATTTGGGATCTTATCAAATCTACATTTGAAACTTTGTATGGAGTCTGCCTCCACCACATCACTGTCTGATGCATTCCATTTGTTCACTACTCTGACATTGAAAATATCTTTCTAATATCTCTGTGGCTCATTTGGGTACTGTACTAAGTTTCCACCTGTGTTCCCTCGTTTGTGTTCCACCCATGCTAAATAATTTGTCTGTCCACCCTGTCAACTTCCCTGACAATATTGTAGGTGGTAATCATGTCTCTCCTGAGTCTTCTGTCTTCCAAGGACGTGAAGTTTAGCTCCCGTAGCCTTTCCTTGTAGCTCATACCTCTCAGTTCTGGGACTAGTCAGGTGGCATACCTCTGAATCTCCTCTAACTGTCTTGTGTTTAACTAGGTATGGACTCCAGGCTGCAGCTGCATGCTCCAGGATTGGTCTGACATAAGTGGTATACGAAGTCCTGAATGATTCCTTACACGTTTCTAAAGGCAGTTCTTATGTTGGCCAATCTAGCATATGCTGATGCTGATATCCTTTTGATGTGGGCTTCTGGGGTCAGGTTCGGTGTGATATCTACCCCAAGATCTTTCTCTATTTAACTTGCAGAATTTCACCTCCCAGATGGCACCTTGTGTTCAGCCTCCTGCTCCCTTTGCCTAATTTCATTACTTTACACTTAACTGAGTTAAACTTTAGCAGCCATTTTCTAGACCATTCCTCTTGTCTGTCTAGGTCGGTCCTGTGGTCTCTGTCTTGATTTTTCTCATAATGTTTGCATTATCAGCAAACATTGAGAGGAATGAGTCTATACCCTCTGGACGATCGTTTACGTATACTGTATCAGAAACAGGATGAGGTCCAAGTACAGAGCCCTGCGGGACTCCGCTTGTGATATCTCGCTACTGATGACTTCCCCTCACAGTTACTGTTTCCTGTTGCTTAGATACTCCCTCATCCACTGGAGCCCCTTACCTTTTTACTCCTGACTGTTTCAACAACTTTTGTAACAGCCTTTTATGGGGTACTGTGTCAAAGGCCTTCTGACAGTCCAAGAAAATGCAGTCTGCCGACCCTTCTCTTTCTTGCCTATTTTTGTCGCCTGGTAATAGAATTCTATTAAGCCTGTGAGGCACGAATTGCCATCCCTGAATGTATGCTGGTGGTGTGTTACAAAGCTCCTTCCCTCTTGAGTCTAGATGTTCTACGAGCATTTTCCTCACGATCTTCTCCATCACCTTGCTTAGTATACAAGTTATGGAAACTGGAGTATAGTTCAGTGCTTCTTGCCGTCATCCTTTTTGTATATTGGGCCTACATCAGCCGTCTTCAAGCTTTCCGGTAAGTCTCGTGTTTCCAGTGACCTGATATACACCATAGTGAGTGGCACACTTAGTGCTTCTTCACCCTCTTTTTCAGTATCCATGGTGAGATTCCGTCAGGCCCAACAACGTTTGTCACATTCTACTCCAATCTATTCATTTTGACCTCATCACTCGTGAGCTTAAATTCCTCCAAGGTTGCTTGGTTCGCCGACTCCTCTCTCAGTACAGGGGCATCTCTTTGCTCCACTGTAAAGACCTGGAATTTCTTGTTGAGTTTTTCAAACACCACCTTGTCATTCTGTGTCTGTTCTCCCCCTTTTCTCAGTTTCATCACTTGTTCCATCACAGCTGTTTTCCTCGTGATGTGGCTGTGGAGCAGTTTTGATTGGGTCTTGGTTTCATTCGCTATGTCTTTTTCATGCCGTGTGTCTGCTTCTCTCCTCAATCTGAGGTACTCATCATTTCTGGCCCTCTGGTATCTCTCCCTGCTCTCTGGGGTTCTGTTATTCCTGTAGTTTCTCCATGTTCTTGTACACAATTGCTTCACTTCCTTACATTCGTGATTGCACCACAGATTCTTCTGGCACTTTTCATTTGTCACCTTTTGGGCCGGGATAAACCTGTCTGCAGCTTCCTTTATGTGATATATTGTATGCCAACTGTTGAGGCCTACCAGTATGGCTGTATCTAAACTCAAAATGAAATAATGAGGTATTGCTAAGCTAAAATGCTTTGAATAACATTATGTTTTACCCTATCTTCCCATCCAATTTGAATTGAGCACAATAAGAGAGTTAAGTCACTTCACTATGGCGTCGAAGCACCCCTTCATCACCTCTATTGACCTTGCTCCAGTTCTTGCGGTCAACACACTCACGTACACAACAGAAGCGTTACAACTACACCGAACCACTGAAGAAATGAGGAATAACAATTGTTCTGAGATGTATTTATGGGGATTCACATCTTGTTGCCATTATTGTGACTTATAGGTAATAGTAGAACACTGTGCTTAGAAGATATATATTAAGACAATTTTATATGATGTTAAAGAAGTTAAAATCTATCGACAAAGTAATCAGATCGACGTGACTTTACCAAGATAAGGTTAAAACAATTAACACTGGAGAACTATAGCTCTTTCAACCTGAATATTGTAGATTCGAACCAGTACCCGAGACATCTCTTGATGCCTTTGGATTGGGTAGCACCGACCCTCTCCCTCGTGTCCAGAGAATTTTGAAGGTCACATCTGACTTAAGGGGAAAACATTATTTAAAAAAAATAACACAGCGGCCGGGGATCGATCAATGGACTTGGATCTCACAGCCGCAGATGATAGCGTTCGGAAGCCTACCGTTTTCGAATATATTTTTATTCTGATAAATTATTTGAATTATGTCACTGCTAATGATGATAATAATAATAATAATAATAATAATAATGGAAAATTAAATTAGTTTATATAACCTCGGGTCAATGCGCGCGCAGCTTGGGGCGGTTAAAGTCAGCTTCCAGACATACGTTTTCTTCCACTCAGAAAACCCACCATTTTTGGGAAACAGTGTTCTTATCAAGGATGCAATGGAGAGTAACAACAGTGTTGCAGACGATGACTTGGCGCCATGTTTTGTTGATTACTTACAGGAGGAGATTTACACTAAAGCTGCTGAAGAGATGTCCCCCAACTTACACACACACACGTGAAAATAGAGTATGGGAAGGGAAAGGATCTATCAGGAGGGGGGGGGGGGGGGGAAGCGCCATGCCATTACGCCTATATAGGACTTCGAAGGGGTCGGGATAAGGGATGAGAATCATGAGACGGGGGGGAGGGGGAAAGTGCGACGTTTCGGATCAAAACGTCGTCGGATCTTCATTTTCAAATTTGTGGGTTGGGCGTCAGCCCTGCATTCGTGTTTCGGAACTCCAACACAGCAAGCTTAGTTTATTTATTATGCACCCCATACCCATTCCCTGAGCGGTAGTGTACCCCATACTTTTATCTATTCATATACACAAGAGATTTTATATTCTTATAAAGCCACTAGTACGCATAGCAGTGCTTTCTGGCAGGTCCTTAATCCTAATTTTCCCTTGAATACGACCCGCCAAACCGTTTAACAACCAGGTACCCATTCACTGCTGGGTAAACAGAGGCTACAGTTAAGGATTGGTGCCCGGTCAATCCTCCCTGGCCAGGATACAAACCCAGGCCAAAGAGCTCGCGAAACACCGGGCGAGTGCTATACCATTGCACCACGGGGACTACCCATCCTTTGGGGGGTAGTGGACCCCCATACCCATCCTGTGGGGAGTATGGTGGCTCCCCATACCCATCCTTTGGGGGGTCGTGGACCCTATACCCATCCTGTTGGGGTAGTGGCCCCCATACTGTAAAGGCTAGTGGACCCCATACCCATCTTGTGGGGGTAGTGGACCCCATATCCATACTGTAAAGGCAAGTAGACCCCACACCCATACTGTGGGAGATAGTGGACCCCATGCCCATCTTGTGGGGGATAGTGGACCCCATGCCCATCATATGGGGGATAGTGGACCCCATACCCATCCTGTGGGGGGTAGTGGACCCCATACCCATACTGTTGGGGGTAGTGGACCCCATACCCATCCTGTGGGGGGATAGTGGAGAAAGATTCCAGAGGCTCATAATAATTGGCTCAGGGACTGAACCCCAAAATTCATTTAGCTAAGCAATTTCAATCTCGATAAGCTATAGTTACTCAGTTTATGTATATAGAATATGATTGAATATCTATTGAATATCTATGACCGAATATTTATTCAATTATAGCGAATTATGCTAGAACTATGCTAACATAGTTATCTGTTATGACTTATACCAGCACAACAAATTCTGGTATGATTTTTTTTTTTGCTACAAAGGTTAATTTGAAGCTTTTTTTTAAGAAGTAGTGTGGATTAATACTTTACAATTGGTTCAGTATTTTAAAAGTCTCGATGAGAACAACCTTGTCATGTCCGGTTTGTAGTGTTGCTGATCTTGATGCCTGTTTTCACCATTTTACACTCTGGGGGGGGGGGGGGAAATGAACTAGTTTGGCCTTACCAGAAGCTTCCGAACATACTCAACCCTCGGAACCTATCGGCGATAGTCCTTCAATTTTTTACTGAAACGTTACTGTAAATCTAGTAAATAAAAGTAAATTTACTAAAAATAAAAATATAATATTAAGTGAGAGGAGAGGTTGAGTTTTGAGGCCCTGATTAACCTTTCTTGGTGTGAGAGTTGACTTACTAATGCAGTTATTTAGTTACTGTGTTGAATTTATTTAATTTATTTATTTATATATACAAGAGTTCTTACATTCTTGTACAGCACGTGTATAGCGTTTTAGACAGGTCCTTAATCCTAATTTTTCCCCGGAATACGACCCG